AAGAAAGAAAGAAAGAAAGAAAGAAAGAAAGAAAGAAAGAAAGAAAGAAAGAAAGAAAGAAAGAAAGAAAGAAACCACAAAGTACTGCCTTCTCTACTCTTTTTTGTGTAGAAAAACTACAGTTTTAGGGAGTTTTGTAGGATAACTCAAATATTAAAGATGAACCAGACTGATATATTAATACATATTTATGCTTAGAAAAACAAAACAAAAAAATCAATGCACAACTTTATCAAAGGAGCTGTTTGTGCACAGAGCACAATACATATTCTTTACACTTCAAGATTCTTAAAGGAAAGAATTTACTGACTGTTTCTAAAGAGGATGCTCCAAAAATCCCCCCGTTTTTTGGAGAATCTGTAAATTTAATCCTACAGTTTCTGAAGGAAGTCTTGCAATTGTCTCATCATCATTTTGTGGGGTTATGTAAAATGCTAGTACAGCAGTAACTTAGTAACTAAAAACAGTTCTTCTCACCCTGGTATGCTTCCAATAAGGGACTGCAACTCACCAATACTTCTTTGACATACAGAGGGTTAAGTCAAGAGTCAAAGGATCTTTTTCTCCAGCCATAATTGTATTTCAATTTAAAACAACAACAACACCTCTATAGTTGCCTCATTCACAGCAAGTCTATGAGGCAGCCTCTGAAATGTACTTATATACAATGAACAGTTTATGTGGAAGTCATAATATTTTTTAAAAAAATATTTGAGTACATAATTCATCTATGGATAACGAGTCTGCTGATATTTGACATATCTTTAAATTAAAAAAAAATGATTATGTTTCAGCAAAAGCTGATTATTTGCCAAAGTTATCTACCCTCTTTATACATGCTATGGTTTCTACAGAAAAAAAAAGGCTCCCCAAAGCACCCATACAGAAGAGAGGTTTATACAAAGAGTGCGCTTCCAAGTAGTGCTGCTGTTTGTTCATTTCCGAAAGTGTTGAATTGATCTAGCATGCTTCATTCCGGTCCAGTAGCATCCTCAGCTCTGAATAGCTACAGCATCTCAAATGCCATCCTCTCCCGCAGCTGGTCATTGGCCCATACAAATAATTTATCCTGAGCTCCCAGACTCCTTAACTGGTGGGCAGTTTCCTCCCCACCCCTCAGATTGGTCTAACAATGGCCCATGAAAATGGGGCTAAAATCTCTTGGCTGTCCTATTTTCCCCAGCTCTCCTGCTCTCACAACTGTGTTCAAATCTTACATCTTTACAGTTGGGCACACTGAGTAAAGGTTGGCTAAAGCAAATACTCCTTTGTTCCAAAAAGGTGCTTCTTGGATGAGAAGCGAAACTTTTTAAAGGAAAAAAACACCAAGAAAACCCAACTGCCTTTTTAGAAAAGCACTTGTGGGGAAATCATGACCCAAATGATTAGGGATCTCCATAGACAAACTTCTTTCCAATCCTGTCCAATGGTTCCCATGTCTCCTCCCTCTTGTTAAATCTCTCTTCACCGTCTTAGAAAGGCACGTTGCCACAAGGCTATGGAATTTCATCGACTGCTACTTCTTTCTTCTGAACCATGTTTTTTTTTCTTGCATTCATGTTTGGAATGAAGGAATCACCCATTTCTTGCTTTGATTATTGTGTCATCAGAGTAACAGTGGTACAACAAAGGGAAACAATGACTCAAAGGAGAAAATTTGGGAAGGGAGGATGAAAACATCTGGGAAAGTAGAAGGAAAGAGCTGGGACTCTTTCTGGGAAAGAATTGGAGGGTGCAAAAATCTGGGAAGGTAGAGGGAAGTTGCAGAGAGTAGTGAAGGAAGGAATAATCCTTAAAAGTAAAAGGCAGAATCTTGAAGGCAGGAAGGAAAGGAATTACCAACTGGGGATTGTCTGGCCATACCCTGGACTAAGCACTTGTTTCTTACTGAAAGACAAACCAGCAAACATCTAAGGAAAGTTCTTTGTCATTCACTTTTCCTTTTATTTGGAGTTCGATTTGAGTTCTGTGAAAAGGTTGGCAGAATGACAGTGTTGATTAGCTGTCATACTTGTCATCCTAATTTTTAGCGTTCTCTTTCTTCTGTGGCTGGCAGGAGTCATAGTATTGTGTAAATTGGGACAATATCACTTTCAGCATTAGCAATTTGGATTTTTTTTTCTAGTTTTTGCAGAAACAGCTACCTCTCTTGTTTTATCGGTCAGGACAAGAGTATCTGAACTTTGGCTGAGGTCATA